AGTCCTGCCTGTGGGCTGACACAGGGGCTGAGTCCCGCAGCTGAGGTTGGGGATCTGACCTGTCATCCCTCTGCATTGTAGAGTCTGAGAACGACAGCTCCTTGGTGGCCCCGGCCCTGGAGGAAGAGATGGAGTGTGGAAAAGTGCYGAAAGAAAATGGGGACCTGCACTTGTCCCCAGGCTCCAGCGATCGCCAGGAAAATGCAGCTGAGCCCAGTTGTGACGACGGGACCTGGACTGTCCAAAGAGTGAGTGATCTATGCTGCCCACACCCCTCCCTGTTTCCCTGAGGCTGAGCTGGGCCAGCGCTGGGTCCCCCTTGTTGCCGCCATGTCTCCCRGCCCCTGGCTTTTCCTGGGCAACCTTCTTGCGCAGCTGTCCAGCTGGCATCAGGAGGGCTGCCGCATGGGCAGTGGCCTGGCTGTCCGTGGCGCCTGGTTCATCCCCCAGGAGTCTGTGGGCTCCAGGCCGTGGGCCCCACCTTCCTTTTCCAGCCCTAGACCCCATGTGCGTGTCTCAGGAGCTGTGGCTGGGCTGGTGTGGGTCCTGCTGCTGGTCTGCGGGCGGAGGACTGGGGCTGGGGCTCCTCTGCTGTGATGCAGGGCCTACGGGTAGGTCCTCCCCACCGCCAGGTGCTCTTCCTCAGAGGTGAGGCCCCTGTCAGCCTCTGGGAGGTGTTAGACACTGGGGACTATTGCTTGTAGCCCCTGGAGGCTTCTGGGGAGCTCCCTGCAAGTGTCCAGGAGCAGCAGGGTCGCTCCCCAGCTCAGCTCCAGCTCACAGAAACACAGAGCTTGAGGTCTGCTCCCAGGCTTCCTCCTGGGATAGTGGCTTCCTGTGCCTGGGCTGGGGCTGGTTTTAGAGGTTCCTTGCAGGGGTGCTCTGTGGTCTAGTGTGTGGCAGGGACATGCTGCAGTGCTCTGGTCCATGCGTGCGGGTGCGTGGAGTGAGTATGTGTGTTGTGTGTGTGATGTGGGCTGTGTGTATTTGTGTGTCAGGGTGCAGGGCCTGTGTGTGCAGGCAGTGAGGGGTGTGTGTGTGTGTGTGGGGGGGTGCACAATTGTGACCTTCCCCTGGGGTCACTGCCTCCTCAGTGGGGACGGCTACCCAAACCAGCCTTGAGGGATACTGAAGGCTTGGGTGAACCTTCAAGTGAGAGTCACCACAAAGACACTCGGTGTGGTGATTAAACATCCTCCAGGGATCAGCAGGACAAGGTTTAAAAAAAAACCTTTGTAGAGTAAGTTGAAGTATCTTTTTGGAAGAGAAAAATGATCAAGAATAGCCAAGGAACCACAGCTAGGCAGGTTGCACATGGATGTGATCCCAGTGACCAGGAGGCTGAGGCAGGAGGATTCAAAGTTSAAGGCCAGCCTCAGCAACTTAGCCAGACCTTGTCTCAACAGAAAAAGGATAAGGGGCCAAGGCAGGAGGATTGTAAGTTTGAGACCAGCCTCAGCAGCATAGGGAGACATTTATTTCTCCTTCCAGTGACCCCCATCTTTGTAGAATGTGCACTGATTGGCTTCCTGTTTTTTAGGATCTCGCTGGTCTCCCTTGCCAGGGAGCTTCCAGAGCCTTCCAGGGCACAGCAGCAACCTCTCCTCTCCTCCTGGATTCCGGTTTTCTTGCTTGTGACACATGCGCAGAGTGTCATGTGGAAAGTCCTAGAATATCATAGTGTCCAAGGGTGATCTCGCAGAGACCTCCCCAGCTACTGCATGCGAGGCTCTCGCGGGCCTCCTTTACCTTGGCCCCCTTGCCACACACCCTTGGTTTTTACGTTCAGTTCTACCCGAGATAAGAAGTTGCAGGGTGATGCTTGAGTGGCTCGCAGAGCCGAGCTTGCTGGACCTGAGAAATGGGGGAGATGGAAGGAAACATGGCAGGCTGAGGGAACCCAAGAGGTAAGATTAACATGTCTCTTCTGTTTAGAGCAAAAGGAAGAAAAAGAAGAAGAACCAGGATCCCTCTGCTTCCTCGGAGCCAAGTTCCTTGGCCCTGTCTCCCTCCATTCCCCAGAGTCCCGACTCGCCTTCACACCCTGGGTCTCAGGACACAGCCCTGGACCAAAGYCAAGCCCAGCAGGGACAGACTGCCCAGGGAAAGGGTGCAGAGGAGGCTCAGAACAGCCCAGTGCTCCAGGACCACTCTGAAGGAAAGGACCCCCACACCGCCGCGTCCTCTGGGGATAGAGGCCCCTCCCAGGARGAGTCTGACCCACCCACCTCTGCCTTCGAAGCCCACCCCAAGGCTGAAGGTGCTGCCCAAGGGCTCCCACTGCCCGAGTCCCAGGGGGACTCTAAGCCTCAGAAGGAAGCCCAGAGGGCCAGGCAGCAGGCGGGGGTCCCAGCCTCTGGGGTGAGTGTGAGGGATGGGGTCGTGGCGGGTGCTGGCCCTAGCCCCTGTGGTGTGCCGTGGGGGTGAGACGTGTTTCCTAGTCTGGGAGGGCAGCCGGGACTTGGGCGGGAAAGGACTGCTGACCCCACACGCAGTTGAAGGCTGGTGCCCATCTCGGTCAGTCCCCCTGCTGCCAAGGAACACCGCCAGGTACAGGTTTCCTGACGGGCTGGGCCTGGGGGGACACTGCTCGGCCTTCCTGGCCCTCCCTGCTGCAGCCCGCYGCCAGCCTGTCTTCCGTCTGGTGTGGGGCACATGTTTGTGGAGTGCTAGGGACAGGGCGTGGGAGACCCAGCCTGCCTGCAGGGGTTCCCATGCCGGAGGGGGAGACCGAGGCTGGGAAAGAGTTGAATGTGGGGAGTCCCCGGGAATGTGCAGGTTGGTGCCTCAAGGGAAGGTGGCCCCTCAGCTGGGTCGCTGGGTGAGGCCTCCAGGGTGGGGCTGGGGGAGCAGAGGCTAGAGGGACTGAGGGGCGAGCCCTGGGGTCCCTGGGGACAGTTCCAGACAAAAGTATGGGCGTGCCAAGACCCTGGCGTGGCTTGTGGTGGCCTGTTATCAGCAGAAGGAACTAGGGTCCCAGGCGTGAGARAGGGAGGAGAGGCCGGGACAGGATTGGGGAAGGGTGCTCCGAGGCCATGGGAGTGGGCTGGCAGGACTGGACGGTCCACCTGGGCTGCTGTGAGGTGCATGGCTGAGGGGCAGGCGGGAAGTCCCCGCTTTCAGTTTGGGGCTTGGTTACTTGTTCTAGGAAGGTGAGACCAGGGACAGGTTGGCTGCTCCTGGAAGAAAGGCAGGCGAAAAYAGCTCAGAGCCCACAGACCCTAGGAAACCGGAAGGGAGTGACAGAAATTACGCAGCTGCTGTGAAAAAGGAGAAGGAGCAGAAGAACCAGAAGGCCAGCGAGCAGGCCGGGCCCCCCAGGTACCAGGCCCTGCCCCTGTGGTTCCAGGCCACGCCCCCAGGTACCAGGCCACGCCCCCAGGTACCAGGCCATCTCCCTGAGATACCAGGCTATCCCCGCAGGTACCAAGCCATGCCCTTGAGGTATCAGGCCCCTTCCCCAAGGTACCAGGCCCGGCCAAGCGCAGAGGATGCTGGCTGCTCCTGTTGACCCTCTGTTCCTCGGCTTCGCCGCTCGTGGTGGGCAGGGGCCAGGTGTGATGGAGAGCAGGAGAGAAAGGAGGAGGTGGGCATCCACACTGCTCCCTTGGCTCTTCCAGCTTGCTGAGCCCCGAGGAGGGGGTCACCGTGTACTTCCACGCCATCATCTCCAAGCACTTCGCCTTCGACCCCGAGCTGCACACCGTGTTCATCAGGGGAGGAGAGGAGCTCGGACGTCCCGGGTGGAGTGACGCTTGCGAGATGTTCTACGTCGAGTGAGTCCCCGTCCCCGGTCCCCTGGGAGTGTGTTAGAGGTGATCAGTGAGTTCCCAAGTGCCTGGTTCCCCTGGGTGATCAGTGATTCCCTGGTCCCCACGTACCCCCCAGGAGTGTGCTAGAGGTGATCAGCGAGTCCCGGGTCCAAGGTTCCCCCAGGAGTGTGCTAGAGGTGATCAGCGAGTCCTGGGTCCCAGGTCCCAGGTCCCCCCGGCATGTGCTAGAGGTCATCAGCCAGTCCCGGGCCCCTGCTCCCTGGGGAGTGTGTGTGATACTCCCAGCATGCATTTCTTTGTGTTGTTTTGCCGGGCGCTTGTTCTGTTTTAGACTTGTGTCTTGGTCATTGTCCGCTGTACCTTTGGGTCTGTGTTCCCAGTGTGTTTGAGAATGCAATCTTCCGAGTTAAGCCTTCTGGATAACGCGCTGGTGTCTGTTGATTCGCAGGGACTTGCGGGAGAACGGGTCCCTCATCGAGGGCAGCATTGTCATTCCCCGGGGGAGCCTGGACAGAGATATCCCTTACAAGTACGTCCTGCACCGCGGCCCCAACCAGGCGGAGTACGAGTACATCTACAAGCAGCCGCAGAGGGCGGGCGAGCACGTGAACCGCTGCCTRTGCATCAAGTCCTCCCTCGTGCGCTCTGGAGGTAAGGGCCCCAGGGCGCCTGCGTCCTGGCCTGGGTACTGCTCTGCGGAGCGACGGCCAGGTCTGTGTGGTCCTCTGCTGTGCGTTGCCCCTGCTGTGGCTGAACTATTGGCAGAGAGGAAACTGGAAGGGTTGGCGCTGTGGGCAGAGTGGGCCCGCGTACTGGGACAAAGCTGGAACAGGAAGCTGCTGGCYGGCCCTTCCTGGAGGTGGCCAGGTGGTGACCAGCAACAGGACAAGGTGACCATAGCCTCCCTGTGGGCCTATGCTGTTTGTCCTTGTCACATTTTGCTGGTGGCACTTTGGCTTCCATGTTCAACCTGCTGAGTCCTTGGAAGAACCTGCACCTGCTCAGGTCCTCTGGGACCATCTGCAGATACTGGCTGTGCTGGCCTGCCTGGGCACCCAGCCCTGTCCTCAGCTCCCAGGGACCCAGGGTCCTCCCACCTTGTCCTGTCGCTGGCTAAGGTGCCCTAAGGCACCTGGCTATACGCGTAATTTTTAATGACAGTAATGTACGCCGAGGACTTCAGCTTTGAGGGGAGACTGGACCTCATCAGATAATTCCATGAGTAAAGATGGAGTTTCTGCTCTGACAAGAGCCACAGAGGGACGGCTGGAGTGGGGTCAGAGGTCCCCAGGAGGCCATATGAACCCTGGCCAACTATCCCCTGGCAGGGACAGGGCAGAACTGGGGTAGCAGCGCCAGCCATGGGATAGCAGTGTGTGCAGCGCCCGCTCCAGGCCTCAGGAGCCCTGCTCAGCTGTGTCTTTCTACCCACAGGGCTTTTTTGGGGACCAGGGATTGAACCCAGGGGCATTTTACCACTGAACCATGTTTCCAGCCCTTTTTAATTTTTTTTTTCTTTTTTTGAGACAAAACAAAATCTCCCTAAGTGGCTTAGGGCTTCCTAAGTTGCTGAGGCTGGCCTCRAATTTGCARTCCTCCTACTTTAGCCTCCAGATTACAGGCATGCACCACCAAGCCCAGCTGCCTCTGACCATAAGTTTTCGGCCTTTTGTTCTTTTCATTCTTTTTTTTTTTTTTTTTTTGACACTGCTGGGGATGGAACCCAGGGCCTCATGCATGCTAAGCAAGTGCTCTACCCCTGAGCTGCATCCCTGTGTCTTTGTATTCATTGTTAAATTTTGAGTCAGGTTTTGCTAAGTTGTGCAGGCTGCCCTCAAACTCTGACTCTGCTGGTTCAGTCTCCTGAATTGCTGGGAGTGCAGGCACRCACCATCGTGCCTGGCTGGCCACTGGGTTTTCTGATTATTTTACATCTCTGGGTTTTCTAGTTCTGTAATTGTGTCTCTTGCAGCTGGCCCTCGGGGGAGCTGTGAATTCAGCGCCTGCTAGGGACTCTGTGTGTATCTGCTGGGGATTGTGCACCACCTTCTTGGTGGTTCTTGTTCCCAGGAGGCACAGAGAAAATAATGCCTGCACCCTGAGTCACTGGGCGCAGTTGTGAGTGAGAGACGCAGTTTTGGTATAAAATGTTGAACCTCCGCGTGGTCCTGTTCAAAGCTCTGCCAGGCTCACTCAGCTGCATGGCTAAGCAGAGACTTGGCTTYGAGCTCATCACTGTGGGCTGTCTTGGGTTTCGTCTGTAGGGGTGTGCCCTGCCGTGGCAGCCGGTGGAGCAAGTTCTGATCCGATTGCCTCAGTTTACCAGAGTCCTCTTATTTTCCTTCCTTTTTTTTATCCTCTGCACTCCTGTATTTCTTTTTTTTTAATTTTTATTTTTTGTAGTTGTAGTTGGACACAATAACTTTATTTTGATTAATTAATTTATTTTTATATGGTGCTGAGGATCGAACCCACGGCCTTGCACGTGCAAGGCAAGTGTTCTACTGCTGAGCCACAACCCCAGTCCTCYGTATTTCTGTTTTTCAGACGAAGCCTCCCTAAGTTACTGAGGCTCACCTCCAACCTGTGATCCTCCTGCCTCAGCCTCCTGTGCCACTGGCATTACAGACRTGCGCCACTGTGTCTGGCTGCTCCCCTGTGTTTCTGTCCTCTGGACTGGTGCCCAGGAATGATGGGTTTTGAGGTCTTCCGTGTGACATTTTTCTTGCTGTTACTCATAGATTGGCATCAGTATGATGACATAATCTGCATGAAGCCTCCTGGGAAATTACAGAAATTACAGAACTTCTTCAATGATAAGACGAAGAAAGATCTGGTGAAGGGCAAGCAGATGGTGGCCGAGATCATGCTGGGCCGCATCTTCAGCATCCTCCAGACCTGGAACCCCATCAACCTGAAGAACTTCTTCACGCAGTTCCAGCAGTTTTATTCTGTTGTCCGAGTGCCCATGATTTACGAGGGGAAAGCACAGCCCTGGCTTAGCCTGGGCCTCGGAGAGTCAGAGGTATCAGGCTTCCGCGTGGTCCCCAGCAGCTCTGGAGTGGGTGGTCAGGGTCCCCTGATCCATTAGAGGCCAGGAGACCCTGTGACTGAGTGGGGTAGGTGCAGGGGGCAGGAGGACCTTTCCGTCTCTTTTGTTCCTGCACCACCTCTTGGGAATTCTCCCCCCACGTGCTTCCTCCTCCTGATGGCACCTCGGAGCCTCATTCCGGGGACTGGTCTTGAGTTCTTCGCCGGCCTGGGCAGAGTTGAAAGAAAGGGTGGAAGGCTGGGGTTGTGGCTCAGCGGTAGAGCGCTCACCTAGTACGTGGAAGGCCCTGGGTTCCATCCTCAGCACCACAYAAAAATTAATAAATAAAATAAAGGTATTGTCTCCAACTACAACTAAAAAATTACATATTAAAAAAAAGAAGGGGTGGAGCCCACCATTGCCCCTCCAGCCACACTGAGGCTTGGAGACAGAGCTGGCGCTCMCTCTGAGTTTGACATTGAGCTCTCAGGAGCACCCAGGGCCTCCCGTTCTCCCTCACTGCAGGTTTGGGGACTGAGCATCACTGTGTGCCTGCTGCCCAGAACCCCAGGGTGCTGGGGAGGTGGGGAAGTAGGGCAGATGGGACCCTCCCCAGAGGTCGCCTGCCTCAGGGCCTTAGTCCCTTGCCCAGGGGTTCTCCAGGCCCCAGGGCATGCGCTCCAAGGCCTGTGCCTCTTTTCCCCCTGCGTCAGGTGAAGAAGCACCTGTGGAAGTATTTGAAAAAGCAGATAGGACCGTTTCTGGAAGGGAAGAGTGGGGACGCCCTGCCTGAAAGCTGCCCTGTGAGGAGCAGGCTGAGGATGGGCCTGGTGGTCCTTTTCCTGGTGGAAGATGTCAAACTCTACTTATCGGAGGGTGACCTGACCTCACTGTGCTCCATCCTCTGCCCCAGCACCTGCTCCCCAGACACCCTGCACAGCGACCTCAGCCACATCCTAGGCACATCGGAGAGGTATCCCAGGGTGTTTTGTCTGAAGTTTGTCATGATTTTTATCTGATTACAGAGTTAAGGGCTTGTCAGAGAAGGGCTGAGCACACTCTGGGGAAAAATAAAACCACAGTCATGTCACCACTTGCTCCTGTCACTTCCTGGCTTGTGTGCCATTGCTAGTGTTGTTGAATTCTGGGTTCTCCTGCCTTCAAGGAGCTTCACACAGCCAGGCACCCTGGTGGCACTGTCATCCCAGCTCCTGGGAGGCTGAGTCAGGAGGATTGCTGGAGCCCAAGAGCTTAGGGCAGCCTGGGCAACTTAGTGGAACCCCATCTGGAAAAAACAAATGAGTGAAAGAAAGTGCAACATGACAGAGGCCTCCTGGGGGCCCTCTGCACGCACGGGCGCAGGCCTGCCTGCTGGTGTCGCCTGGCACAGCTGCAGACCCCTGCAGTAGCTCAGGAAGCACCGTGTGCCTGCTGCGTCCTGGGGAAGGGTCAGACAGCCTTTCATGTGGGAGGGTGACCTCTTCTGAGCCTCTAGGCGCTCGGAGGTCAGGGTCTCTTCTGCTTCTGTTTGCTGGAGCRTGGGTGACATCAGCTGGCCTTTCCTGAGAGCCTGGGGGTTTCCTACGTTCTAAAGACCAGGCAGTTGCTGTGCCCTCCATGAAAGAGGGTCGTGGTAAGGAATGTACAAACAGCTGGCAGGGGTGTGAGAGGAGGGAGAAGCGTCAGTTTCTATGCCCGTGGGGGACACTCCATGTGACATTCCTTTTAAAAAATGACTTTGTAGCTGAGCGTAGTGGCACATGCCTGTAGTCCCAGCAACTCGGGGCTGAGGCAGGAGGATCGCAATTTTGAGGCCAGCCTCAGCAACTTAGGGAGGCCTACCTCAATATAAAGAAAGGCTGGGGATGAAGCTTAGTGAGGAGGGTCCCTGGGTTCAATCTCCAGTTAAAAAAAAAAAAAAAGTTGGCTTTCTGTTTAGGCCACCATTGCCAGACTGGCTGGTTCAACAGGCCCTGTGTGAACGCCTGGCTGGAACCCGCACTTCAACTCCTCAGCTGTGTGCTGTGGGTGGGAATGATGCTGGGGCGAGGGGGCGGGGTTGTGGGGCTGGTGCTCTAGGGGCAGGGGAACTTGATCCCTGGCTACCCTGTGTCTCTGGGTCCAGGACTCCATCCAGGCCTGCAGCAGGTTCCTTGTGCTAAGTGCATGTGGCCATCCCTTCCCTCCTGGGACAGAGGACCCCAGGGTGGGTTGGACACAGCCCTCCACAGCTCACAGTGGGTCTGGTTCCCTCCTAGATGGCGAGAGTACTTGGTCAACCTGTGCCAAAGGTGCATGAACGCCAAGGTCATCGACTGGCTGGGCATCCTCCCYGTCCTGCACTACTGTATGCGGCTGGCGCCCCCCAGGAAGGACTTTGTGAGTCAGCCCGAGGACACATGGGCTGCCCTYGAGGGAATCTCCTTCTCACAGTTTCAGAAAAAAATGCCAAATGAGTAAGTTGAGAAGCTGCATTGTGTGAGGGCGCCCTGGAGCACCGCCCTCTACTCTGCCCCAGCTGCGTCCAGTCCTTGTCATGTTTAGTTCTTGAGACGGGTCTTGCTAAGTTGCCCAGGTTGGCCTGAACTGGTGATCCTCCTGTCTCTGGAGCGACTGGGATCACATGYGTGGCCACTGTGCTGGACAGTCTTATGCCTGTACTAATATGTGTCCACTTATTTGTGTGACAGACACTTAGAGAGCACCTCTGTGTGCTCAGGGTCCCAGGATACAGCCCTGAGCACCGCAAACCTCAGTTCCTGGCCTCAGACCTGGCCTTAGCCGGAGTGGGGGTGGTAAGCACATTTTTGGCAGGGCTTAGAGCAAGCACCTCCTTTTGCTGGCCATACATCTGAGGCCAGAGAACTGGCCGGGAGAAGCAGAGGACTCCCCCACTGTCTGCACTGAKTGTGAGGGCACAGCGCTGCCCTGTGGGTGGGCGCCTCAGGCCTCCTGTAGTGTCATGCCTGGGGTGGGCAAGAGTACAGAGGCAATGACCGTGGGCTCACTGGGTCTTGCAGTGTGGGCAAGACAGTGGCCATCCAGGGTGGCCAGGGACTAAGAACAGGAAGAGTCACTGTTCCTGAGACCTGGACAYAAGGAGCTCGCTGAAGCAGGAGAGAGGAGCCAGTGGCCATGGGTGCTCAGGCTCTGGCTTCTGACGGGTACCATGGCCCTGCTCTTGGGATGGATCCTTTCTATGGACGAGTCTCCCTGAAGCTACAGCAAACCCCTGGCCCCTCCCTCATAACCCCTGACCTGAGACGAGGCCTCTCCAGGGCCAGCGAGGACACTCGGGTGAAACCCAAAGACATCCAGGCGGGGGGTCAGGGAGTGTGTTGAGAACAACGGTGGAAAGGTCAAGGCCGGACCTTGGCATCAGCAGATAGGTGGAAACCGTGGGTGTCACAGGAGAGCAGGAGCTAAAACTCGAGACCTCAGCGCTGGGGTTGCCATGAAAGAAAGTTTAAAGTCAGACACCAAAGTCATGCACGTGAAAGTGAAGTGAMAGCAAGGCAGGCTTAGCTGGACAGCATCTTTTTTCTTTCTTTTTTTTGGTGCTGGGAATTGCACCAGGCCCTTGTGTATGTCAGGCAAATCCTCTTCCAACTGAGTGTGTCCCCCGCCCCAGAGGGCACTCTTGAGAGGGGGGGCGTCTCTGAGCAGAGAACGCTGTCTCCGAGCTTATTCCTTGTACCAGGAGAGCTGGGACCCCCTCTGCACGCTCTGCTGTCAGTGTTCAGCTCTTCATGTTGGGGGTGGAGTTTTGACTGTAGTTGGTCCCCTCCGGAACTGTCCAGGGGACCCATCCTGTTTAAGGGGCTTCATGTAAAAGTCAATCCCGTGTTAACATGAGCACTGGGGTCCGTGGCTGGTCAGAAGTTACTTCAGGGCACTTGGCTACTAAAGGAATCTTCCTTCCCAGGCAGATGGAGACACCTCGGCCGTAATTCCTGGCTTCACATCAACCTCAGTGAGCSCAGTCAGGAGTTAGTCCCATCAAGCCTTTTCTCTTGACGTGGTTTCCAGCCACGCTTCCTTCTGTTTGCTTTCTACAAGTTAACTACCGCCCTTTGCCTTCTCATCTACTTTGAAARTAGTTTAAAGAAGACCTTAAAGTGATCTCAAAGTGATCAGACATTGGAGAGASAGCTGGGGACCAGCCAGACCGAGGTGGTGCCCAGGGGCCTCAGTGCCCAGCATGGCAGGACACACGTCCTTCTCGGCCATGCGGCGGGCACGGTGCAGTAAGAGGGGCTGCCTTCTGAGCTGGACTGCTCAGGGCCCTGAAGGGGCTGCAGTCGGAGCACGAGGGTCTTGAGCGCAGCTGCCTGATGTTGACGGCTGGCTTCTAAGGAGCCTGGCCTGGGAGTGGGGAGAGGTTCTCAGAGAAGGCCTGGAAGGCACAACCTACAAAGAAGGTGGTAGGGCTGGGCTCACCAGAGGCAGAGGCCRCCCAGCATGGGGGAGGCCCTGGGTGGCTGCCCTGACACCACAATTTTTTTTTTTTTTGTAGTTGTAGATGGTCAGAATGCCTTTATTCTATTTATTTTTATGAGGTACTGAGGATCGAACCCAGTGCCTACACATACATGCTAGGCGAGTGCTGTGGCACTGAGCCACAACCCCAGACCACAAAAAAGGAGCTGGGGTTGTGGCTCAGTGGTAGCGTGCTTGCCTAGCATTCAGGAGGCACTGGGTTTGGTTTTTAGCACCACATACAAATAAATAAAATAAGGATCCATCAGCAACTAAAAAATATTTTAAAAAGTAGTAAACTTAAATCTGAATCATTAAACTTGAAGACAGCACCACACTCATTTCCACACACAGGTAGGTGCTKCAGTCGGCTGTTGAGTGCCCTGTCCTCTTGTCCCCCTGTCCTACTGTCCACTGGGAGGTAACCTGCCATCCTTAGGGATGAGGGCAATGAGTTCAATTGTTTTCGCCTCTGGTCTATTTTGGAACCTTTTGAAATGAAAACTGAATTAAAATTTTTTGTTGTTGTTGATTCTTTTTTTTTTTTTTTTTGTGCTAGGGATTGACACCAGGAGCATTTAACCACTAAGTCACATCCCCAGCCCTTTTTAACTTTTTATTTTGTGACAGGGCCTTAATTAGTTGCTGAGGCTGGCCTGAACTTGTGATCCTGCTGCCTGAGCCTCCTGAGTGGCTGGGATCACAGGTGTGCCACCGTGCCTGGTGGTGGTTTGATTTTCATTGATTCACTCCATGTCTGTTTCCATGATGCTTTCATGTCACCTTAAAAATCTGAGCTTTCTGGACCTTCCCAGTCTTGTTTTTCCTGGCCTTGAGTCTGTTCAGTGCTCTCTCTGATGCCCTGGTCTCTGTCCCGGCTTCTTCACTCAGGAACCAGTTTCTTAGCTTCATGGAGAGCAGGAAGCAGCTGCTGTGTGTGGATGAGTACCTCTTTCGATCCTGGTTCACTTTGCTGCCTCTGGGAAGCCTGGTTCCCTATATGGAAAACTCCACGGAATACTTGAGTCTCGTGCCTGCTCGGGTCCTCGACTGTTTCCTAGGGACTCGCTACAGGCTGCAAGGGCTTCAGGAGATCTCTTACCAAAACGTGGAGGTTTGTGGTTGGGAGTAGGGTGTCAGGTCCTTGCTTAGCCAAAACAGACTACCAGCTGAGCATTGAGTGCTCTGGTCTTCTGTCCTGAAGAATGGGCTGAGGAAAATGCTGAGAACCAATAACAGAGTTGCTGAAATAAGAGGTCATTAGCTCTGAGGGTTCAAGTCTGACTTCCCAGACTCGATTCGGGTTTARTAAGAAGAGTGCAAGAGAACAGTAGCCTTTGGTTCTTTACGACTGTTGGAAGGCACTGTGAATGTCACACGCTCCGTAGCTGCCGTCTTTCCTTAGCTTTTGGGGGGTAAAGAAAACGGTATGAGGGCTGGAATGTAGGTTAGTGGCAAAGCACTGGCCTCGTGTATGCAAAGCCCTGGGTTCAATCCCCTGTTCCAAAAAAGAAAAGACAAAAAAAAAAAAAAAAAAAAGCAGATTCACGGCCCGGGTTTCACTGGTGGAAGATGAAGATGGCCCTTGAGCCCTTGAAGGCTGTGCACAGGGAGAACAGGATGCGGCAGTCCTGTGCCCTTCTTGGCACGGACGGCTGTTTCCTGATTGGACTGTTCATACGGCCCTTTCTCTGCCCGGCCCTAGGATGTCGAGCGTGTTTTCAATATGCTGATCCACCTCGTGGACATCTACCAGGACATGTAAGTAGAAAGGCCTTGCAGCCTCTTCTGCACGGGCTCCTATGGGGTGCAAGCCACCTGCAGTCCTCAGGGTCCCAGGCGTGCTGTCAAAGTGGGTGGGTCGGACACCAGCAAATGCCCTGATGTCCTCTTCAGTTGCCAACCCAGCCATCCAGGGGTTTTCTGTTTTTTTTTTTTTTCTCTCCTTAAAGGAAATAAACGGGGCTGCAGATGTAGCTCAGGGGTTGAGCACTTGCCTAGCATGTGCAAGGTCTGGGTTCAGTCCCCAGTATTAAAAAAAAAAATGAAATAACACCTCACAGGTGCTGAGATTTTGCTTTGCCCACCCAACCCTTTTTGCCTTTGGGTTTTTATTTATTTTTATTTGTCCTAATTAGTTACGCGTGACAGTAGAATGCACTCTGACATGTCACTCTGACACATTGCAGCAGAACTCCTCGTTCTCGGTTGTGCATGCTGTGGAATCACACCAGTTTTTACTCATATGTACACATAGGGTCATAATCACTTATTTGTAAACAATTGTCATCAGTGTGAATGTAGGTGCTCTRCATTTCTTTAACATTTAGTTCTTACATTTTTTGCAAGTCAGGCCAGTTTAAAACAAAAAATCAAAAGTGGCCTTGCAGAACAGTTACTCCTGCACTGTGCACGACCTCTGCCCCTGAAGGAAGAGCACATGAATGCAGCCAGGAATGTGCACCAGGGCCCSCAGTCCCGGGACCTCTCTGAGCACTGCTGTTGCTCCCTCTCCCGGGCCCCAGGGTGTCGGGACTTGGGGTTATGCGCAGGGTCTCCCTGCATGGCAAGCCCCTGTGACTTCGAAGTGACCTTTCTCATATCACCAGGCTGTTAGTCATCAATACAAAACGTGGGTCTCACCAGGTGGAAAACATTCGGTGAGCAGTGTACATTCTTCCCTTAGCATCCCCCTCCCTCCTGTAATGTTCTGAATTTTTTTCCAAGTGTAATCTTATTTTAATGATTAGAAATATTCATTCCTTGCAATTTTTTTTAAATAAGGAAATATGCTTGCAAGTATTTTAACTTGCTTTTAATAAGAATAGTTCCAACTGCTGAACTAAAACAAAATGTCTTCCTGGTGCTCCCTGTACCAGGGACTAAGTCCAGGGGTGCTTAACCACTGAGCCACATCCCCAGTCTGTTTTGCATTTTATTTAGAGACAGGGTCTCACTGAGTTGCTTAGGCCCTCACTAAGTTGCTGAGGCTGGCTTGGAACTTGTGATCCTCCTGCATCAGTCTCCCAAGTAGCTGGGATTACAGGCGTGTKCCATGATGCCTACTCTGTGTTCCCTTTTTATTTTATTCACCGCTYTTAGACCCATTGTAATGTTACCTAGAGGAGACCAAATAAATGCTTTACTTGTAGGTAATTTATTTTAAGTAATTTATTGATAGTAGTAGAGATTGAGCCTGAAGTGCATCCCCAGCCCTTCTACTGATTTTGAGTTAGGGTCCTGCTAAGTTGTTAGGCTGGCCTTGAACTTGGTCATCCTCCTACCTCAGCCTCCTGAGAAGCTGGGAGTCCTAGCTTGTAGGTCTTTAAAAGGGAAGGGACTGGTAACTCATAATGGGTATCGTTTCCTCATTTCCTAACGACTTCACTGATCTCTCTGGATACCTGGTGGGTAGGATTCTGGAGAAGACATCATTAGAGTCCTATTTGACCGTGTGCCTGAAGCTTCATGAAGCTGTCTGCAAGATCACCAAAACCCCGAAGTACTTTGAGATCCCCGCCTTGTCTGCCTGTGTCATTGTCAGAGTCCTTGGACTTGGTCCTGCTGTGGTAAGTGGCATTTAGGTACCAAACGCCAGGCCCATCCATGGAATCTGACTCCACACAGCCTGATTTGGAACGTGTGGAGTCCTGGGAGGCCTGGGGCAGAGAGAGTGGTCGAGTCAGCTCTCAGGCACCCACTGGATGGGTTCAGCCGTGTGCAGACCACACACCTGGCGCCTGGCCTCACCAAGGAGATGACCCTTTTTTTCCCTTGATTCTGTTGTTCACAGAAATCTAGGCCTATTTCCCCGCCCAASGTCTTCCATCCTTGCTGGGGCACAGCACGGCTGTGGGGCCTGGGCCCTGCTGCCCAGCTGCCCAGCTGCCCAGCTCAGGCCCTGGCACCCCTYGGCCTGCAGTCATCCTTGCCCTCGTGCCCCAGAGGGACGCTGCTTCCTGCCTCTGGAGACCCGCTGCCCCGGCCTTCACCCTCTCTCCTCTCACCCGAGTCTTGCTGGGGGCATCAGGACTGTGAGGTCACGATGGAGGTGGTCGAGTCTGTCTTCACCTTATTCCTTGCAGCCTTACTTCTTTAAGATACCGCAGACACACTCTAAGAATGATTTCTTTTTTTTTTTTTTTTTTGGTCCTGGAGTTGAACCCAAGGGTGCCTAACCACTGAGCCACAGCCCTAGCCTTTTTTTTTTTTTTTTTTTTTGGGAGAGAGAGAAAGAATTTTTTTTTTTTTTTTTTTTAAAGAGAGAGTGAGGAGAGAGAGCATTTTAACATTTTATTTCTTAGTTTTCGGCAGACACAACATCTTTGTATGTGGTGCTGAGGATCGAACCCGGGCCCCGCGCATGCTAGACGGGCGCGCTACCGCTTGAGCCACATCCCCAGCCCCAGAAAGAATTTTTTAATATTTATTTTTTCGGCGAACATAACATCTTTGTATGTGGTGCTGAAGATCGAACCCGGGCCGCACGCATGCCAGGCGAGCACACTACCGCTTGAGCCACATCCCCAGCCCCCATCCCAAGCCTTTTTAAAAATAGTTATTTAGTCGTAGATGAGCACACAGTAGCTTTATTTATTTTTATGTGGTGCTGGGGATTGAACCCAGTGCCTCACACGTGCTAGGCAAGCGCTCTGCCGCTGAGCCCCAGCCCCAGCCTGGATTTACTTGTCATGGTCGTTCAGTGTCCCAGATCTGTGGTCACAGATAGTCCATCTTTGCTGCAAAAATAAAAATGCTATGCAGTGACAAAATTGACCAGAACGAAAACACGCTGGGGCGAGTGTTGGGAGCCTCTCGTTGGGAGGCCAGCTGGGCGGCTGCCCGTGGGGCCTGGAGCTCAGGTCAGGGCACTGGGGTGGCTCAGCCTCGGGATTCTCCCAGCCGTTCCTTTACCGACCACTTCTGTGCAGCCCTGGATGACACCAGGATGGGCCGGTGTTTGGCTGGGCCACTTTTGGGAGTTGGTAGAATGCCTGGGCACAAGGGACATGCATGCCCGCTGAGGCATCCGGATTGCTCTGGAAGGTTCTGTGMSGTTCAGGGACTTCATGCAAGGGCCCCTGTTTCGATTTCCCTGAGACCCCCAGTGCTGTCCTGGCCTGCCCTCGCCTGTGCCCTGTGCTCTGCTTACCCTGCCTGGGGCCCACGTCCCCTCTCCTGCTGTTGGCTTGCCTCCCCGGCTCCTTGTGCTCCYGTGCCTCTGCACTCACTGTGTCTGCGGACCACGCTCTTCGTGCTGTCTGAAAGGGCCGTCTCTTCCACTCTAGTTGGTTCCCTACGGCAGGATGGCGTCTGCTTGGCCCCCTTGATGCTTTGCTGAGGCGGAGGACCCAGGGTGGTTCTGTGAGCCTCAAGGGGCAGGAGGTGGGTTCCATGGAAGCACATACCGTGTAGTCCTGAGGGCCTCAGGGGAGGCCTCTCTAAAGTGAGGTCTGATGCGTGTGCTCCTTGGCAAAGAGAGAGGATCGGGTCACTAGAGGCTTTGAGTCCCCAAAAGGAGGTGGCTCTGTGGGTGTGGTGGTGGAAGTTCAGAGGAGAGAGATAGGGGCTGTCCCCACAATGTGCCCAGGGGAAGGGGACTGGGCTGGCCTCCAGGCCAGCAGAGTGGCTGCTTCCCATCCCTGAGGAGTGGGGCCCAGGGGTTTTCATGGCCTCTGGCTGGGCTTCCCTGGAAGCATGCTTGACCTGAGCTGGAGAAAGCACAGGGCTCCGTGTGCCCTGCCTGCTGGGGGCTCTTGGTGAGGCGGGGTCTGCGCAGGGACCTGTAACACCCATGCCTTCTCCCCTCCTCTCCCTCGTCGCCCCTTTCAGGGGAGTGCGGGGTTCTGAGGGAAGCGCAGTGCTTGTGTCAGGTAGGTTTCCATCAAGCACAGAGCTGGGCGGTGGCTCGGGTGCTGGGAAGAGCAGCGCAGAGCAGGTGACTTTCTCTCATRTGCCCACAGGACATGGCAGAGGACCCAGGAGCTGCAGCCTGGAAGCGCTCAGTGACAAGTGTCCTGCAGAGTGTCCTGGCCACCACTAGATCCTGGCTACGCGGGGTGTTTGTGAAGAGCATGTTCCTGAAACGCTCAAGTGTCCAGTTCTCGTATCCCGAGGAGATCCAGGTACGCTTTGCCTGAGTCTGTGGAGCCTCTTYAGGCACCAGGGTGGGGATGCCCGGAGCTGGACCAGCAGGACCACAGCCTGGAGGCCCAGGCTCATCCTGAACCTTGCCTTGAGCCTTGGCCCCTTCTCCAGGAAGGGACATTGGCCCTTCCCTGGCGGGGAGTTGGTGGCCGCCAGGTACAGTGTGACACAGTGCGATGGGGTGTGGTCACACTGAGGCAGGGGTGGCCAGGAGGACCATCGGGCTCTGCTTCAGGTCTGAGGCTGTAAGCCCGCTGTGTGTCACTGGAAATGGAAGGTAAAGGTGACAGTAGGGTAAAGATGCTAGCTGGCAGCTGAGCAAAGCCATTTGACAAGATGGACTCCGCCCCCAAGGCCTTGGACGTGGCGATTCCCTAGCTGGCAGCTGAGCAAAGCCATTTGACAAGATGGACTCCGCCCCCAAGGCCTTGGACGTGGCGATTCCACAGTATAGCGCTTGAGACCCAGGAGCCTGGGTCCCTAGAGAGCTGCAGCAGGGGGAGTTGGCGGTAGGAGGTCCCCACCACAAGTAAAGGTCTGCTCCCCTGTCTTGGAAGTGGAGGGTTGTCCCCTTGAGCCACGGTCTTCCAGGGAGACTGTGGACCTGCTTGTGGTCTTCTCATAGAGTAGGGGCCGGACTCATTGTGATATGGGGCAGGGGTACCCCAACCAACTGGACCAGGGTGTCTCCAGGGCCAGGGGGTCATAGGTTTCAGTCAAAGACAAAAGTCATCCTCCCCCAACTGCTTTGTGAAGTTTTATATCAACACACTAAAATCCCAGGAAAACACAATTGGATTATTAAATGTTATTCCAGGATTCTAAGCGGTATAATCCCCAGGCGTTCAGTTATACTGAAGGATAGCCGTGGAGCCACAGACAAGAAAGAAAGATTCTAAGTGTAGTCGTAATGATAAAGAAAAAATGGAAATTAATTAAGCAGCTGTGCTGAGGTAGTTGCTGCTGTTATTGCTGTTTTACAAGTAAAGTTAGTGGGTCTGGGGAACCGAACATGTTTTTGGAAGGGGGGCTCTTTCTCACTAGGAGAAGGGAGGCAAGAGCTCTGTGTATGGAAGGAGCTGGAGACAGCAGTGAAACTCATGATTCATACAGTTGTCAGCTCTGTCCCCCCAGAGCCCTGTGGCAGGGGCACCCTGGGACCATCAGCACCTACAGAAATGATGCCCTGGGACCTGAGCTCACCTACCTCACTTCGTGGCTTTTTTTTGGTGGGGGGGCAGCACTAGGGACTGATTCCAGGGGCACCTTACAACTGAGCTACCTCCCAGACATTTTTATTTTTTATTTTGAGGCAGGGTCTTGCTAGGTTGCCCAGGATGGCCTGGAACTTGCGAACCTCCTGCCCCGGATGGCCACCACACAGGGCCCAATTGTGCCTTCTAACTTTCGTTCCCGTCTTACAAAGCTGCTTCTGGAGGGGAGCCGCCTCCCTGGGACAATGGAGGTGCACAGGGGCCAAGAGCTCCTGGTGCTGGAGTGTCGGGAAGCGCTGAGGGAGGGGGGTGGACGCACGTGGCGGTGCAGACTCCTCCTGGGACGCACGAGGACCCGTGTGGAGTCAGGGGTTGTCGACGATGGTCTGCTGTTGCGAACTTTTCAGTTTTGACAGCTGAGGGGTGGTCATGGTCACGATGGCAGAATTAGGGTCAAGAGTGCATAGAAATTTGGGCTGGGGCTGTGGCTCCGTGGTAGAGTGAGTGCTCGCGCAGCACCACATAAAGACTATTGTGCCCACCTACAACTGAAAAATAAATACAAAGCTGAGTTCATAGAAATTCTCTGGGCTACCTCTGGCATTTTTGTTAAGTCTAAAGCTATTCCATGCTTTAAGAAACATGTTGAAGATGCTCACATTAGTTAATCTGGTACAGTTTGATTATTAAAAGGCCAAATGAGGGCTGGGGATGTGGCTCAAGCGGTAGCGCGCTCCCCTGGCATGCGTGCGGCCCGGGTTCGATCCTCAGCACCACATACMAACAAAGATGTTGTGTCCGCTGAAAAATAAATATTAAAAAAAATTWAAAAAAATAAAAATAAAAGGCCAAATGATAGGAATGGTATAAAATTAATTGATAAACAGAGAAGAAAAAAATTTAAAATTTTTCTGTTAAAGATGGTAGCTAAGAAATGTAGATGAAATAATTGCAATATAACACTTGTCACCCTGTGACCAAGGCACAGTAGCTGATGCAGGCAGGGATCACTCAACAATCCTGAGGTCAGTCAGGCACAGGATTCCCAGGGCTCAGCCCAGAAGCCCTTATGGCAGTGAGTGAGGAGAGCTGGCGGACAAGCCTGAMCCGAGGCCGGCCTCTCTGTCARTCCTGATGGCACTAGCAGGTCTCATGGGCCTCTCAGTCAGGCCCAAGGTGTTTGGCTGRGCAGCTGTGGCAAGTGCAGACGTTTGGCCACACCTGCCCTAYACCGAGTGCACTTTTTACATGGTTTGACTTCATAGTGTCCTGACCAAACCTATTGTAATCGTGGGATCAAGAGACAGTTTACAGAATGCCCTGAACTTAAATTGTCAAGGAAAGATAAGGCAGCGAAGTTCTCCAGAAAAGAGACGTGATCAGTAAATGCACTGTGTGTCCCGAGGTGGACCCTGATCCAGACATCAGGTGGACATATGGAGGCACGAGGGAGGGGGCAGCTGCTCCAGGCTCCTGTCCTCCCAATGCTGCCTCTCCTGAGCAGACATGGTGTGGGGACGGGATGCCTGCCCGGGTGTGGGGACCTGTTAGCTTGGTGCCTTCAATTGGTTTAGCAAAGTGCTTTTAGTGGGGATTGGACCCAGGAGATTCAACCACTGAGCCACATCCCTGCCCTTTATTTTTTTATTTTTTWATTTGGAGACAGGGTCTCACGGAGTTCCTCAGGGACTTGCTAAGTTTTTGAGGCTGGCTTTGAACTCGCAATCCTCCTGCCTCTCCCTCTGGAGCAGCTGGGACCAGAGGTGCCCCCGTGCCTGGCTGTTGTGTGTTTTCTGTAGGATGTCCCTGTGGTCTTTACCTGTCCCTGTGGCTGTCACTTAACACGTGGGTTTTGCAGGTCTGGCGGCGGCTGGTGGGAATAAACTTTCCTGCAGAGTGTGGCTGGAAGGAATCGCTGCTGGGCGACATGGAAGGGAGGCTCAAGCAGGTACCAGACCTCGGGGACACCCTCAGGGTGGTGATGAGCCCAAACTGCTGGCAGCACCAGGTGCTACAGCATGTGCAGGCCCTGGGATCCACCCCAGCTTTCCTTTTTTTTTTTTTTTTTTTCTGATCAGTCCTTTGCAGTTTGTCCCCAAAACACTAGTGTGACATTCCTGAGAAGAGCCAGGGAATGGAATTGTGCTATCCTGGGGACTCTAGACACTCATGTCATCAAACCCTCCATGTGCAGGCTCCACGGACCTGGCCTTCTTAAATACTGTGACAGGGAGAACTCAACAACTACCCTTTATGTTGAATGAAGGCCTGTGACCCATGAGGACTGGTTTCTACGTGATACGAGTGTTCTATACTGGCCTGATCAAATGGATCTTTTTAGGAAGACAAAAGCAAGGAAAAATGGCTTATTTTTCAAAATTTCCATGTTTTTGCAAGCAGCTATTCCGGATGCTTTTTTTTTCCCAGTATAAAAGAGACCAACTCGTTTTCATCTTTGCTCCTCTGGTGATGGCCAGGGAGGACATGTGCAGGGTGGGGCATGCAGGAGGGGAGTCAGAGCCACCAGGCCCTCACGCCCACCCACCTGTGTGTTCCAGGAGCGGCCTGTCTTCCAGATCTCTGTCTTCTGCAGCACTCTCTGGGATGCAGCTGGCCTCCGGGACAGTGTGGCCAGGAGGTTTGAGAAGTGTGTCATGGAAGCTGTGAGCTCTGCCTGCCAGGTGACCGATCTCTTCCTGAGAAACATGCTTGGGTTCACGGCTGCTTGCCAACATGGTCAGCGCCAGCCCTAAGTGCCTGCCGGTTCCAAGCATTGGGTCCTGGGCAGCCCCTCCCTGGTTTGGGCCCCATGCTGCTGTGCAGTGTGTGGTGCCCACTCCTGGAGATGCAGCTTGTCTTTCTGCTGCAGAAGCGTACCCGTACTTGGTGAAACCACAGTGGCGCTCCCAAGCCTCGGTGCAGGTGACCTGGCAGGCTGCGCCTCCAACTGCCATTGTGATCATTGCCACTGGTTTGTTTATGGCCTGTTAACTCTTGCCCAGCAGATATGCAGCAAAAGACCCCAAAGGTCAACAGCACATCTGTGGAAGGAATAGTCCAATAGACTCCATMCTTGTTGGGACGGGGCGCTTGYCCAGCATGTGCRAGGCCCTGGGTTCTATCCACAGCACTGCAAAAAGGAGGGGAAACAGTCTATTGGTACACTTGGCTTTTTTCTGCAAAGTGGGAGGAGGTTCTCCCCAGAGCCTGGCAGGAGTTGTCCCTGCACAATACCAGGCTGCCTGCTGGCCCCAACGCCCTGCTCTGTCTCCTACTGGATGGACACCTCCCACCCTACACAGGCCTGAGCTTCATTGCTGGCCAGTAGGGTCCCAAGAAGTAGAGGTTCCTGTTTCTGGGCTCTTGTCTTTTCTAAGACATAGTTTTTGTTTTSTTTTCCTTTTTTTTGCAGTACTGGGGACGAAACCCAGGGCCTCCCAGCATGCTTTGAATCTGTAGGTCAGTTTGGGGAGTGTTGACCTCTTAATGTCAAATCTCATGATCTCTAAACCTGGAATGTCTTCCCATTTATTTTGGTCTTTAATTTCTTCCAACAATGGTTTGCAGGTTTTAGATGGTGAGGTTTGCATTTGTTTTGTGAAGTTTATTCGTAAGTACTTTATTCCTTCGCTAATAACCTTATTCCTTTGTAAGAAATTATTTTCCCAATCTTGTTTTTGGGTTGTTCATCACTAGCATATGGAAATAGAGCTGCACATTGTCCCAAGCTCGTTTATTGGCTGTCCTGGGGTGCACATGGGAGAGTGCATCGTCTTCGAGGTTTTGTTATAGACAACTGTGTTATCTGCCTGTGAGGATACTACTTCCTTTCCAATCCCAACACCGTTTTTTGTTTTTTTTTTTCCTCCTGCCTAATTGCACTGGATAGCAACTCTGTGACAGTCAGAGGGGTGAAATTGGCCGTCCTGGTCTTGTTCTTGGAGTTTTGTCTGATACTTGTTCTGTATCTATTAAAATGGTTGTGTCTCTTTTTTCTATTGGTATGATGTAGTCATGTTTTTGTGTCTGTGTGTGTGGCACTGGGGATTGAACCCAGGTGTACTTTGTCGCTGAGCCACATTCCAACTCTTTTTCTTTTTTTTTTTATAGCTTTTTTTTTTTTTTTTTTTACCCAATACCTTTGTTTTGTTTGTTTATTTATATCTGGTGTTGAGGATTGAACCCAGGGCCTCACGCATGCTAGGCGAGCGCTCTACCGCTGAGCCACAACCCCAGCCCACTCTTTCTGTTTTTCATTTTGAGATAGAGCCTCACTAAGTAGCTGAATCTGTCCTCCAAATTGCAGTCTTCCTGCCTCAGCCTCACCAGACGTGTGCCACCAMACCCAGCTTATTGACCGATTTTTGAGTTAAAACATGGTTTTATTCCTGGGATAAATCTCACTTCATCATGGTCTATAACTTTTTATGCTTTGCTTATTAATGTTTTCTTTTGTCCTTTTATACGTCAAAAAGTGTCTGTTGTTTATTCACCCTGTGTTTTTTTACTGATGACTGAAACTTTTTTTTTTTTGCAAAATTGTAAACCTAAAGAAGGAAAATGTTTTGTTTCTTGGTGAAGCATCAGGAGAATCGGCGTGTCTGGTGTTTGAGAGCAGTCTTCATGAGAATCACAGCTTCGGACATGAAACACACAATGTAGTAGAGGCTTCCTCATCTTGTTTTGAGTATTTTTTATGACAGGCAAGACTAAGAAAAACGCAGAAGGTGGCAGTGAGCTGGGAGGCGTGTGACTTGGGGTTGTTGGGGTATGTTCATTCGTATGTGTGCATCTTCAAATCTCTGGTACCTCACGTAAGGAGACRGGCCACAGGGGGATGGAAAAGTTCTAGGACATATTAGGTCCTTTTTTGTTTTCTTTTCCTTTCTTTTGCAGGACTGGGGATGGACCCAGGGCCTCCCAGCATGCTAAGCTCTCCCTTTACCAGGGGGGTACTCCCAACCTCTCTTCTTTGTTGTCTTCTTTTTTTTTTAGGCACTGAAAAACTAGCTTCAGTAGATTTTTGAAATGCTAATGGGTACTAACTTGTCATTAAAATACAAGTCAATGAAATCTTCTAAATTCTTTTTAATTCATTTTCTTCTAGTCTCAGACCAGTGTCCTGGAGGGAATCTCTTGTCATGATTTGCAGAAATTTGGCAGCCTTGTGTCTGCCGTGATCACCAAGTCCTGGCCCAGGAACAATGGAGAGGCCGTGGACGACCTGGATGAGATTCTTAAACACCTGCTCACGGGGCCAGATGTGAAGCAGCTCTTCAAGTTGTATGGTGTGTGTAGGGAGGGTTGGGTCTGCTGTCCTTTCTCAGGTAGCAGAATAGGGCAAGGTGCTTGATGACCTGATCCTCAGCCTACATGTGCTGAGGTTTGGTAAAGGCAGGATGGGCGGGGGTGCCSAGGCAGGTGATAAAGAGCATCTAACGGCAGAGCCACTGTCTGCTGAGTGCCTGCTGGACATGTGCTCCTGTGGGCACACACTGTCCTTGAAGCAGCCCCTCTGAAAGTGTTTGGGGCAAGTTGCTTCCCCAGGGTGTTGGAGACTTCCTCTGTCAACCATGACGAATGTGACTCTTCAGCGTCACCTTCCAGTTGTTCTGCATTGCCCTGAAGACGATCGTGCAGGGTTATGTGTAAATTGCTAGATTCAGATCTTGTAGTGGGAAAGCGCTGGGCATGGCAGTACAACCCAGGGCAGATGACGGTCTCAGCAAAATCAGCCACACCCAATGCCACAGGAGGGGCAGGAGCAGTGCAGGAGCAGCGCGTGGTCATGAAGGTGGCTGCTGTGTGCACGGGCCCGGCAGCTTGCTGGAGAGGAGTGCACTTCTGTTTTGAATGTCCGCACTCTGCACACGCAGCAGGATGCGTCTGAGGTTTCAGGCCCGACAGCTCTGTTCCTGTTATTGCTGAGCAAAGCACCTTTGTCTAGATGTGCCTGGGTTGGTCCATTTTCCCACTGAAGTCATCTCAGCTGCCTCTGTGTTTTTGTAATTAGGAATAAAACTGTGTGTGCGTGCGCGTGTAAGCACGTGTGTGGTGCTGGGGACAAAACCAGGGCATTGGGTCTCCTAGACTAGCACCCTACCACCACTCTGCACCCCAGTCCCGCACCATCTTTGATTTTAATGGTAAAGGTAACTCTGTTGTCCACGATACTAACTGAGCCTCATACTACTGTGAGATAAATAGTCTGGCAGGTAAACTAAGCATATTTTAAAACCTCGGCCTCTGAGGTCATCTGAAAGCTCACATTCCAAGTTTGGAACTGCAGTCAAGATAGGCAGATTGTGAAGGCTCAGGCCTTCAACCCTGTGGTTCTCCTGGCTGACATTGGCCATTGGGAGGGTCTCCTCCGTCTACCAGGAGAAGCACTGGGGTAAGACAGGTATGGGAACAGCTGAGTGAGGCGGCAGCACTTCTGGAAACACTGTGAATGCAGCCAGTGTCAGGTGGGCATGGCGCTGGGCTGAGGTTCTAGAGCAAGCAGGCGGAGGGTCCGTGGACTCACCATGTTCCTCATCTGATCAGGGACGGATGAGAAGCTGTTAGACAACCTCACAGAGGACGCCAAGAGGTTGATGGCTGCTGCCAACTCTGTCTTCATGAAGGTTGCTGGTGACGTCCTGGATGGGTCCATATTGATCGGACACTTGGAGCTGATCCTAAAGCACAAAACCCAGTTTCTGGACCTGTGGCAGTTAGGTGAGCTGGGCCAGGCTGGTGTGAGGCCTGCGTTCACACGTGTGCTGGGTGTCCTCTTCCATGCCACCAAGTGGAGGAGTTCTTGTCTTCCTATGGTGACTGCAGGGCACTCCCAGGGGAGAAGGGGGTGTCACGGAGAAGTGTCTCTGCCTTTGGTGACTCTGTCATTGTATTCCAGAGAAAAAGAGTTTTTCATTCCAAGAGGGAAAATGTGACATGAAAGAGACCCTGGACTGGAGGATGGGAGAAGTCGTGTTTCTGAAGAGAGAGAAGAGACAGGTGGACAGCCTCCTGAGGCTGTGTGGGAAGGTGAAGCACCTCGTCCAAGGTACTGCCCCCGCAGTTGCTCTGGACACCCTTGAGAGCTGGGGCAGGGAAGAGGGCCACAGAGAGCAGGGCCTTATTTGGGGGGAGAGCTTTTGAAATACATTTTTAGCCGAGTTTTCCATGAGTCTGCCGGGGGAAGTAGGCTCCGCTCTCGCTCCTGTTGCTGTGCCTCCAAGCCCGTCCATATCCCGGTTCCCAGCGTCCTGTGCCAGCTTCCCGTGGGGTGGGGTGGGGGGGATCTCTCTCCAGTCTGGGCCCAGCACACGAGGTCACTTGCTGCCCTGTCACGCCCAGTGGTGCCCTGAGTTACTGGAGCAGTCTTCGGGCCAGGCCTTCGCCATGGCGTGAACACAGGACTCACAGGCCAYCCCACGTTCCGGCAGAGCTTCTGTAGCGGTGGAATTGCTCTGCTTGTCTTGTTATCTCCTTTTCCCCTTTTCCATTGTGTTTCTTTCTAATTCAACCTGGACCAGCCGTCTGAGCGGACGTCTCTGAAGGGTCTCCAGGATGGAGGGCTCATTTCTCTGGGGGGAGGTGGCCCTCATCTCCCAGGGTCTCCTTGACCTCTGGGCTGGTGGGGCAAGTCCCGCATCCCGGGCTTGCCCTCGACTCCTGTTGGACAGAGCGTGGCATCTTCTGCTTGCCRGGAAGGGGCACAGAAGGCCAGATTCAGAACTGTGCCCCTGCTGTAGGTTGATCATTGGGCCAGGGACAGAATGTCCATCACAGTGCCGCCTGGGTGCTGCGTGGGGACGTCACATGCAGCCTCGCTGCTCACCCTCTGCATGGGGCTCGTTGTCTTCTCTGGATGCTCTCGAAAGCCAACTGACCCTGGTGTCCTGACGTCATAAATCTCTGCCATCCATCTCCTTCCTGTCTCCTCGACCTCCGGTGTTCCTCAGCTGGAGCTCTAGTCTTAGAGCTCGAGGGCTTTCTCCTGAACTGGTTGTTTGTGCTTTCTTTCTTCCTGGGTTCACATCAGCAGCTGCTGGGCCTCCTGGTGTGGTTTCCAGCCCCTGTGACATCTCTCCTGTTTGGGCCTTGCCTCCTGAGCCTTGTCCACCTCCTCACACAGCCGGGCCTTGAAGTCTTCATTTCAGCRCTCTCACTCCTTTTTTTCGTTTTACTTTGATATCACAGATTGAACTCGGGCCACTYGACCTCTGAGCTGCACCCCAGCCCTATGTGGTATTTTATKTAGACACAGGGTCTCCCTGGGTTGCCTACACCTCGATTTTGCTGGGGCAGGCTGCGAGCGCTCTGTCCTGCCTCAGCCAGCAGAGCGCCTGGCACTTTTTCTTTAATAATTTTTATCTGTAGATGGACATAATACCTTTATTCATCTATCTTTTGTGGTGCTGAGGACTGAACCCAGGGCTTCCTGAGTGCTGTACCACTGAGTCACAACCCCAACCCTTCCCCTTGTTTCTTGAGAGACCTCTCCACTCTGGTGTTCTCCTGGTTCGTGTTCAGTATCTTATCTTTCTGAGATTATTGGTGTTTATAAAGATCTTCTTCTCCTYGCATTGTTTCTTGTTTTGTCCAAGTTGCTTGCTTTCTTTTCTTTTTGCATGCTGGGAACAGAACCTAGGCTTTTCTTTTTTAATTTTTGTTGTTGTTGGTGGTGGTGATGTACCTTTATTTTTCATTTATTTGTATGTGGTGCTGAGAAGGAACTCAGTGCCTCACACGTGCTTAGGAAGCGTGCTACCTCTGAGCTACTGTTGGGTTTTTGGGTGTCTGTTTTGCATTTTAAAGACTTTCCTGCCCAGCAGCTCGGGAGGCTGAGGCAGGAGAACTGTGAGTTCAAAGCCAGCCTCAGCAATGGTGAGGCACTAAGCAACTCAGTGAGACCCTGTCTCTAAATATAATACAAAAGGGCTGGGGATGTGGCTCAGTAGTCAAGTGCCCCTGAGTACAATCCCCCAGTACCCCCCCAAAAAAAAAAAAAATATATATATATATATATATCCCTCTTCTGTTTAGAGATTTTTGTTGTCTGTGTCTGTGAAACAGTCTCCACAAGTGGACTGACACGTTAAGGGCTTCTGGGCATGGCCCCTGGCGCTCTGTGGCTGCCCTGGTGTTGACCTGGTCCTCGAGGGCTTCTCCTGTGGGTCTCCCATTTGCAGCCCCTGCCGGCTGCCAGGTTCCTGGGGCCAAGAGGGAGAGGAGGAGGTGAGCCCACTTTTACTCCAGTTCTTCTTCCCTGAGGGCCGCGTCATCCTCCCCGTCCTCGGTAGTTGCCTAGGACAGGTCTGTGTCTAGAGAGGCCTCCAGGCCTGAGAGCCCTGCAGGTGGTCCTCCCTGCCCTTGCCAGGTGGGGCTGGACTCTCACTCACTGCTTCTTAAACACACCTGGAACCCACTTCCTGWTCCCTCTCTGCCTCCCCTGGTCTAGGGTGACCTTACAGCTAGTGTCCTTGCTTGCCAGGAGCTTGTGCCAGGCCTGACTGAGTTCATGTCACTGTGTCCCCAGGGTCTATGTACTCAGGCCCCAAGTCTCCTTTGCCTCTGTGGCCGTCTTTCCACTTCTAGCTCCTGTTGCTCTTGGGCAACTTTTCTGCTCCTCTGGTCCCTGCTGGTTGTGGTCTTTTAAAAACAATTTCAAATCCATCACTGGAGTGAGGTTTGGGTGGGAGGAGATGGACGTGTGTTTCCAAGTGTCCTGTCCACACAAGAGCTTGCAGTCTGCTCTTTATCATGAAAACTGATGAACAAGCCGCTGGTGGGGTGGAGGGGAGGAGGGATGAATCTTCCTGAGAAAAAATTCTCAGCAATGGTATTCACTTGTGTTTTCTTAACGAAGTGATTAGAAATACTGGGAAAGTAAAATAAGATGCCACATGACTAGCAGTCTCACTTCTGTGTTTCCTTATGGTGTCCAAAGTGGATTTTGGAGAGATTGAAGCAATACACTCAGAAGACCTGAACCTCAAAAGACTGAATGATGCCATAATAGTGAGCCAGCCATCGTCCTTGGCCTTCAAGCAAATGACGCACTACAACCTGGATTTCAGAGCCCAGGAAATAGCTGAAAGGATAGACTCGCTGATAGACAGCCACATCTTCCAGGTTTTCTGGGAAGAAGCTGCAGAATCATTGAGTCATCCCAAAGGGAGATCTGAAAGGCCAACCCTTGAACTTCTAGAAGCCTATGAGTACTTGTACTTGCCTTGTTACCAGAGGTTCATGAAACTGTATCAGGATCTGAAGTCAGGAGAGGTCACCTTTGCAGAAATYGATGTCATCTTCAAGGACTTTGTAGATAAATACAATGACCTGRCTTCAGACCTCCAGATTATGTGTAGAGTAGACCCCCAGGCCCAGAGAGGCTGGATCTCGGAGCGCGTGGAGCAGATCAAGGAGTACCATAGCCTGCACCAGGCCATCAGCTCGGCCAAGGTCATCTTGGATGTCAAAAATAATTTTGGATTGACTGGCGACTTCAGTGTTCTTTACACTTTAGTAAACTTTGTAAGTTATTTGTTGGGGACTCCTGGGAGGTGGGGGCTACCTCAGACTCCTCAGAAGCCCCAGGGCTTCTGGGAAGGACAGTGTGGCATCCTGTTTCAAGGGCTCTCGTCTGGGCTGCACTGGAACATTCTGAGGCCTGCGTTTTTACCTTTGCTTGAGATAGTGTGACTATTCCTGAGTGAGTGAGTTTTTTTGGATCAATATGAGAACCAAAAATTGAGGATAGAGAAACCATCCCCTTTCCCAGAAAAATCTCTTGTCTTTATTTTATAAAATCACAAAAAGAAATGTTTTGGCATCTGTCCAGGTACCTCTCCTAGTTCACGTGGGAATTTCAAACGGTACGTTGCTCCCACTGTGGCTCAGGCCCGTGTCTCTTTGTCCTGTTTCCTAGCCCCAGGTTTATCGGTGTTCCGGGAGAGACAGACGATAGTGCTTAAAACTTACCAGAGTGTGGAATGGTCCATACCTAAACTTGAACCTGTCAGCACATCTGTAACTGCCCCAAACAGAGAAGTCAATGATTTGGACCTGGTGGGGCTGCTGTGAGGAGCAGGTTTCAAAGTCCATGAAAGCTTCCTCATGGGACCTGGGTGCCGTGAACAGTAGCTATTGCAGCCCAGCAAGGAGGGCAGTGGAGGTCATGCTGTCCTTTGTGCAAGAGTGTGTCACCCTTTAGCTGTAGCAGCTGCTGGTCCAGGCACACAGGAGGGCAAGCATGGGTGGTCGCTGGTGCAGCCCACAACAGAGCTTTGTCTTGCAGATTGATGACTTTGAGGCCACTCGCCATGAGAGACTGGACCAGATCAGCCCGCAGCTCATCCGGGCTAAGAAGCGGCTGCAGGACATCAGTGAGCCCCGCCGCCAGTGTCTGCAGGAACTGGCTCTGCAGAAGGAGCTGGTCGGCTGGCTGCACGAGGCGCTGGGAGGTACGGGGGAGCTCGGCTTCAGGTGTTTGCCAAGTGGGGCTCCTGAACTGGAGGCCATCCTACCTCCATCGCGGGGGTGCGTCAGTTGGGGGACAGTGTCTGCCTCCAGGCCCTCAGAGAGTTTGCCTCAGGCTAGCTTCTCTGGGTTCTGTTGGTTAAACTGTTTCCTGAGCTGCTCTCTCCATCTGTGGACTCCATCGTCGCTTTCCTGAGCATCCTTCCAGCTCATTCTGCCAGTGGCCTGGGCAAGCTCTTGCCTGCAGGGGCCCTTACTGCAGCAATCGGGCAGAAGGTGTGCATTTCTTTGCCAGCCTAGGGCTGGGCCCTGCATGGTTGTGTGGATTCAATTTGGGATGGGGGATAGGTAGGAAATAGAGGCCAGGAGGTGGAGAGGGACAGCACTGACACCAGAGGCCTGGGGCCTGCTTCCTTGTGGCCCTGAGGCTGCACTGGCTCCGCGCTCATCCACCACTGTGCTGACTCTACCTTCTACTCCTGAGTCTGCTTTGATGTATGTTATTTGATTAATAATTAACCCCAGGAGAATTAGCTCAGTTTTTTAAATAATTAATTGTCCACATATTATTTACCAATTGAACCTGTTTTTGTTTAAGTGATGATGTCTGAGAATTAAAGGAAATAAGGTCCACACAAGGCTAGTACAGTGCCTGGGACATTGTCTGGTGGAGGTTAGTTGTTGGTCAGTGGTGGGATCATGTACTGCAAAAGTCAAGGTGTCCTGGAGTTGGAACTGAAGGCAGGAAGTGGAGCAGGCCCTAGATGTTTACTAAGTGTCCACTGATGGCCTCGCTAAGGACCGTGCCCCAGGTGTGATTTGTGCAGCATCGTGGCATGGTCCTGTGCTGACCTCCTCTCTGTCCCCAGGCATCACCGAGCTCAAGGTGTTTGTGGACCTGGCCTCCATCTCGGCTGGAGAGAGTGACATTGACGTGGACCGGGTGGCCTGCCTGCACGATGCTGTGCAGGGCTACGCGTCCCTGCTGTACAAGCTGGACAAGAAGGCCGGCTTCAGCGAGTTCATGGAGCTGCTGAAGGAGCTGTGGAAGGCTCTGAAAAACGACCCCCACCTGCCCAGCAAGCTGGTGCGTCTTGTTCCTGGTTCTAAGGCCTGGTGACTTGCAGCCCTGGGCAGCAGCTGTGCTTTGAGGGCACACGGGCACGGAGGCGTGTAGGCAGCTGCTCGAACGCATGTTTAAAAGCAGCTTTCACCTATGGAAATGCTTTCTTTGTCTTGGGTGGGAAGGGAGCTACAGAACTGCAGGTCAAGAGCAGTGTCTGCCCTACAGGACAGGTGTGGAAAGAGCACGGTAGGAAGCATGGGAAAGGGTGTGCAGTGGTTTTTTTATCAGAAGAAAGACAACACTGCAGTGAAGTGCATGTGCAGGGGGTGGGTTCACGGTGCTGCATGACTTGCCCAGTGAGCAGAGACGTTCAGAGGCCTGAACAGGCTCAGGGCGTCTGCCCCTGCGAGTGGCTGGCGGTGGGAGATGCAGAGACAGAGCAGTTGGCAGTTTTTCTGCCAGAAGCTCATGTCTGTTGCAGCTTTTCCTAAGTTCTTCTGGTGGTGTTTGGGAACCGTGGCAGGACAGGAAGAACACAGGGCTGCTGTTTAGTGAAGCATCTCTTCTCTGGGCCTCTGTTCTGGGGACCCAGCAGTCGGTGGCTTCCCTCTTGGGAGCGCAGCCTCTGGCTCTCCACCCAAACATCCGTCAGTGCAGGCCACATGCACTGCAAGGGTTAGCTAGGAACCCACGTCAGCAAAGCCACACTAAGTGACCAGGGTCTTGAGGGAGTGACACTGGGTGAGCAGCTGTACCTGGAGCCCTGGAGGAGGGTGGGTGCAGTTTGCCCAGCAAGGGCAGAGGCAGGAGGGAGGAAGACCTCATTCTCACCGTGGCCCATATTCTCTGCTTTTGTCCCAACAGCGAGACTCTGCCAGGAATCTGGGGTGGCTGAAGACCGTGAAGGAAAGCCACGGGTCCATCGAGCTCTCTTCCCTGTCCCTGGCTACCGCCATCAATAGCAGAGGCATCTATGAGATCAGGGCACCCACAAGTGACCAGAAGGTGAGCCTTCCTAGATGCAAGGTGTGGTGTTGGTGGCCTGCACTGGCGCGCTGCCGAGTCGGGGTTTTAGCCACCAGAAAATGACCTCTGAATATATTTTACCTCCCAGATCTCATCAGATGCTGTCCTGCGCCTGATCCTCCCTGGGGGTCACAGTGGCCTGGAGCCAGAGCGCTCCTACACTTTGGAAGACCTGAAGGATCTTTTAAACAAGCTGATGCTGATGTCTGGCAAGAAAGACCACAAGAATATGGAAGTAGAAAAGTTCTCTGAGGTGAGCGGCTGCCGCTGTTGCCTCAGGCTGGGCACATTCACTGCCCGCTGCCCGTGGAGGGCCAGGGCCAGGGATTGGCCTCTGCTGGGCAGAGTGGCTTCAGAGAGTGGAGCTGGTGGTCTGCAGGGTGCACCTTGCCTGGAGCGAAATCGGTGGTGGGATAGGTCCTGGAGGTATTAGGTCCCCCAGGAGGATCTGTCACCAGCTGGTAGTGAGTCAGCTGCGTGGAACAGGGGGTGACCAGGTAGGAAGAAGCATGAATGCCTTCATTTACTCTGTAAATTGGCAAAGTCCACCCCTCAAGATTCTGATGGCACATGTCTGTAACACCAGCCACTTGTGTGGCTGAAGCAGGAGGATTGCAAGTTAGAGGCCAGCCTCAGCAATTTGGTGAGATCCTGTCTGAGAATAAAAAGGGCTGGAGACATAGCTCGATGGTAGAGCACCCCTGAAGTCATGGTGGACACAGGTCGTTGGTTTGTGTGATGGTCTCTTCTTGTGTTATAGCTTCTTTCCTTATAGTCTATTTGGATTTCACAACTAACCCCCCCCCACACACACACCCGTGCTGGGCGTAGAGCCCGGGCCCGGCACATACGAGGCAAGTGCTCTACCACCGAGCGCAGCCCACGGTCGACATTCCTATCCAGCGCTGATCACTTCCAGAAGAAGGGAGCCCTCTCCTGAGGCGGATCGTGTTTCCCAGTCACCCGGCGGGAGGAGTGACCCAAGCCCCTTGAACCCGTGTGTGTCCAGTAGCTCACTGTGAGGTCTGCCTCATGCCCCTGTGTCCCCCAGGTATTCTGCCACGTGCAGAGGCTCACGCAGGCCTTCCTGAACCTGTACTCTGCGGGGAACATGCTGTTCCGGACCTGGACTGCCGAGGTCTACTGCTGCCCCAGGAACGGCGTCTCCATCCGCATAGACTTCCACTTGGAGTTGGTGAGCCAGCTGACAGAGAGTGGGGACGTCCCCCAGCTCCTGGAAGCCCTCTGCAGGCAGATGGAGCGCTTCCTGGATGACTGGAAGGAGCTGGTGAGCAGGAAGCGCAGGGAGCACTTCTACCTCAACTTCTACACGGCCGAGCAGCTGGTCCTCCTGAGCACCGAGCTCCGGAAGCGGAGTCCCAGCGCAGCTGCCCTCATGATGCTGTCCTTCATCAAAGACCACTGCACCCCAGCTGACATCTTAAGAGCCACCGAGGGGTTCAGTGAGGCCCCCAGACACCGCGTGAGGACAGTGATGGAAAAGTTACCTCCRTTGCAGTCCTCTGAGATCAGCCTGGTGACCAAGCTGAGGGCCATCATGGAAGAGTCCCTGGAGAGCATGAGTGTCTTTCTGCCTGGCTGCCTGGACCTGGAGGCCCTGGGCCATTGTCTGGCTCGCCTGGCCAGGATGGGTAGGCCTCCTGTGGAGCGGTCTCTCCCCGTGGGTCTGCAGGCTGGCCAGCCCAACCTGGTCTTGTGTGGCCACTCTGAGGTGCTGTTGGCTGCCCTGGCCATCTACATGCAGGCCCCGGGCCAGCCCCTGCCCACTTTTGATGAGGTGCTGCTCTGTACCCCGGGGACCACATTAGAAGAGGTGGCCCTGCTCCTGCGCCGCTGCCTGGCCCCGGTTTCCCAGGGGCACAAGGTCTACAGCCTGCTGTTTGCGGATCAGCTGAGCTATGAGGTGGCCTGCCAGGCGGAGGCCCTCTTCCGCAGCCTGTGCACACAGTGTCCCCGGGAGGACTACCAGCTGGTGCTGGTTTGCGACGCTGCCCAGGAGCGCTGCTACCTGCCCTCGGCCTTCAGCCAGCACAAGGCCCACCTCATCCCCCAGGCCTCGTCCCTCCATGCCATCCAGGATTACCTGGCACGTCACTACCAGGTCCCAGCACAGACCCTGTCGGCAGCAGCTGTGTTCAGAGACCGGATGTGTGTGGGGATCGTGTCCTCGGAGAGAGCGGGAGTTGGTAATGAGAGTTGTGGGGTGGGCAGGGCAGTCCTTCAGGCTGCCCAGTGACCCCTTCCTCTGTAGCGCCTCAGATGACACCCTCTGCAGGTGGGAAAGAATCTCAGGAGGGTCTGACGCCCTGCAGTCAGCGCTTCCCCTAGAAGGGGGCCTCCTTTTGTCCCAGCTTGCAGTTCCTGGAGCCCTGCTCCTCCCCGGGGCCCTTTTGTGCAGGTCACTTTTTTCCCGCGTGGACTCTGCCGAGTCTTCCTGGCTGGCGCCTTGGCAAGAGCAGAGGCGCAGGGGGCGTGGCCCAGGAGACGGGGCCTCGCGCTCTCCCCAGGCTTCCTTGGACTCCCTCCACGATAGCACTGCGCCCTGTCAGGACCCAGCCGGCTCCCCTTCCCTGGGGACATGCCTCTGTTTTACTTTATTTCACCTCCACTGCTGTCCTGCTAGTGGCCTGGCTGCCGATGCGGCGGGGACTCTGGCTTCCGGTGCGGCGGGGACTCTGGCTTCATGGTGGACTGTTCTCCAATCTGGTGTTCCATGATGTCACTTATGAATTTTACATGAAATACTTTTTTTTTTTTTTTAAACGGGATT